AATTTTGAGCATAACTCAAACTACTGTTTACCGCAGACGCTTATTTTTCTGAATTTGTAAAGCTTTCCTAACTCGAATTTTATCAACATTGTGTTTTTAATCTACAAAAATCACCCAAAAACTCTTTACTCCAAATAGAAACCTCTATTCTTTTTCAGGACAAATATATGGACAAATTTGAGTTTATATAATTTCCACGGTTTAATTTTAAAAGTTAAAAAATATAATTTAAAATTGAAAATTCAACAACACCAAGTATAATTAAATTTAAAAACAATAAAAGTGAAGTATATGAATTTTATTTAGAACAATAAAGCTAACGAGATGATAAATGTGCGAAGTGATATTTAAAAAAAAAATGATATGCGTTTACTAAAAACCATCATGAATTTATAATTTACATTATTTTAAGGGATAATATGCTAGGATTCCTTCAAATGAAACTTAATTTGAACTAAATGATAAGTCTAAATTCAATCTTTTAATTAAATCCTTTGTTTGAATTAATATATGAGCCACATCCCTAATTTTTCATTTATTCCTATACTGCCCTTATATCCTAAATTATCTAACATCATATACATTCACTACATTCACGTTTCTTCAATTTCAGATTTATTGCTCTTTATTTTTACTTTCTCTCCCACGTTCTCTAACTCTCCATCTCTCTCCCTCACGTTTACTTACTGTATCTCTTTCTCTCTCTTTTTTTTCTCTTTCTCTCTCAACCATCTATCTCTTCCTCGTTTTTCTCCAGTAGCAACGAAGGACGGCGATGGCATGTGGAGTCGTGGTGGAGAGGGCGGCGACGGTAGTTGTGCGGTGCGGAGGGTTGTGGTTATGTTTGCTTGGTTTGGGTTCAAAATAGCAGATCTAGGGTTTCCCATATTCTCTTCCTCGTTTTCTCCAGTAGCAGCGAAGGCCGGCGATGGCGGGTGGACTCGTGATGGAGAGGGCCCGGCAGGTGGCGACGACAGTGGTTGTGCGGTGCGGGAGGCTGTGGTTATGTCATTGAAACCATATGTTCGATAATTGAATCTGATTTTCTTATTTTTTAAAGAAATTTTGCTTGGTTTAGGTTCAAAATAGCAGATCTAGGGTTTTCCACAGGTAGTAGGTGAGTATAGATGCGGCGGCTGCGACTAGGGTTTGGCGGCGGACGCACTGGATGCTAGGGTTGGCGACGGCTGGGAGTTGTTGGCGGTAGGGATCAGAATAGTACACTATCGTATATCGTAGTACATCATAGGACACCATAGTATACCATAGTATACCATTGTTTTTTCAAATCCATAGTATACCATAGTATACCACTGTGTTTTTAGAATCTGATGTATTATTTAAGAAAAACGAAAAGATTTTGTTTTCGTAATTTTCAATAAAATGTTAAAAATAAGAAAAACATATAAGCTGTTTATAATAATTAAAATTTTTTGAGTGAAAAACGAAAAAACAAAGATGACAAAGTGTGCAAAAATAAAATAAAATAAAATATGTTAAATGAAAAAATAAAAATATTAAATGCATAATAAAAAATGATAAATTTACTGCAAATTTCGAATTTATGAGTAGAGGGGCACTTTTGGAATGAATTTTATAAAGGATGTGAAACAAATGTTCAGTTGAACTTGTCATTTAGTTCTAATTAATTTTATCACCAGGACCTATATCTTAAGATCGCTTATTTTAATTGAGGTCAATAAGTGTATTTATCATTTCCATTATTTTAATGATCAAGAAGAAGATCTCTGTTAAAAGAAACAGGTGAGGGAGGTTGATTTCATTTTACTCCTCTATCATACAACTTGCCATTAATTCTATTTATAATGCTTAACATGACAATAACTAAAATATGCCACTATCCCCACTACAATTATACAACTCGTGTAACATAATTTACCAGCCACAAATGAACTAATCTATTTTCATGCAACTAACAATATTGATTAAGTCTATTTTCTTCTTCCACTAACCACTAAGGAATCAATTAATTATTAATAACAATAACTTCATTTTACTATTTTTATAGGGTTTGTTTTTCTTTGAGAAAGTATTTGACCAACTAACTTTATCAATCGGTTTAAGTGTTTTATCTCTCTTGCAAATAAGATCATCATTTTAACATTTATTATTATAAACAAAATCAAAGTTATTGTTTATAATAAAATTATCTTCAACCCTGTAAATTCCTCAACTCTGTAAACTCAATTTCTAATTTGACTCCAATTTCATTAATTTTGACCACAAAAATTCGATTTTTACTTTTTCTTTTTCAAACTTCTTTTTATGAATTTTTTTCCGCTACCGGAGACTGACATTGATTTTTTTCCTTTAAAATCCTCCTTTTTTTTCGGCCCGCACTGAACGTTTGACCAACATATTACTGTTATTGATAGTAAATTTATTGTAAACACATTAATATTACTGTCAACCACATCAATATTATATTTTTTGAACTTTTTTATTTCATTTGTTTTGTTGACCGGTCCACGTAATAATAATACTGTGTTTGACATATTATTACTGTCTAGTACTGTAATATGACTGTCAAACTCACTAATATTACTGTTTTTAGGGAAGCCTTAAAATGTTTTGGAAAAAGCAAATTTTCAAAAAGAAGAAAAAGTTAACGCCGCTGTAGACAGCTGTAGACTGACGCTAACCGTCTGCGGCAAAAAATAAATTTCAAAAAAACAAAAAAGAACAACAAAGTGAACGCCGGTCAAAATTGAAGTCAGTATTGGGTTAGAGATCAAAATTGAATAGATGGTGAAATTATGGTCGAATTAAAATTAAATTAAAATTAAATAGATGAAATTAGTGTATATTAAAATGTGATGAACATTTTAATCTTTTACACACTTCTGCACTTTATGAAGTCTTTATCAAAAAAAATTTAGATATAGATCTAGATATGAATAAGTTACCCACCATAAACTTATTGGTAATAGCCTATTTTTTGTATTTCACAAATTTGTTTGTATTCGATGCTTTGGCACAGTTGACAACTAGTAATTTTAAATTTTAATAAATAAAAAAATTGGGGCTTCATAAACTCAATAATTCAACAAAACAACGCATGCCAGTTAAGAAAAATACTCTTGGCTTGTTGTGTAGATAGTAAGAATTTCCCATCTATTCAGCATTTTGGAGATAATGAGATCAAATATGTACAAAAAATACATTTATAATATTAAAAATTTGAGCAACTTTAAACATAATTTATAATTTCTAACCATTATAATTTTTTTCTTCTTCTTATTTTGTACTGTCATTACCAGTTTATTTGATGCTTTATCCGGTGAAATACACTGTCTAATTATTAATTGTAGATGTGAACATATACACACATCTATGTGTATATGTGCTTTGCTGGAAGTTATTTCACCACATCAATAATTATCCGATATATTTCACCTAGTGTAGCATTTGAATAACCGCCATTTATCTTTAATACTTTATATTAAACATTGAAGGATATGCATGGTCACATATAGTTTTACACCAAACAAGTAAGCGAATTTCAATTATATATTCATAATTCAAATGTCCAAATTTCATTTAATTAAATTTTACCATTTTATTGTTAAAAAAAATTAAAAATTGTAAAAACATTTTTTTCTTAGTCTGTGTAATTGTTAATATAGTCGAACTCTATATATTTATTCGGGATAAGAAATCAAACAAGTTAGGTCTTGTTCAATGTTGTCAGAACGGAACCGACCGCTTGTTCATTTACTAATATCTAGTTAATTTAGATTAGATGAGATTAGATTAATCTTCTACTGACTAATTGATTATTTACTTAATAAATATTCGATTACTTAAATTAGATATTGTATTTAATTTCTTTACGAAACCTTTACAAAATGAACATACAATTTTTGATGATAAAATTGTTATTTTCTTTTTAGTGACCCCTACTAAATCAATCACAGTAAGAAGAGATGATCTAAATTAGTAAAATAATATTTTTTAATTTTAATTACGGCATCGACTTTTGTAGCGGGTTTAATATAATTGAATGTTAACATCAGAAAGGGCTAATATTTGAGCTACCAAAAATTGGGAGAAGAGTATGACCTCGGATAATTAAAATAATTATATTAATTATATCATAATCATACCTAATTTGGTTGAATTGCACATGGGCAGAAGACTAATCAAATCAATCAAATATCTATTTACCTTTGGCACCAAATTGTATGCTGAAAGACTCAAAAAGTCATCATGGCAGGGGCATCTTTTCTTTGTTGAAATCAACAAGTTTAGTATATTCATTTCAATATTGTCAGAAATGACAAGAAAACAAGAAAAAGAAAAATGAATTCTTTAAACCAAAATATAAGGCTAAATTATGACCAACCCCCTGAAGTAATATTAAATTACTAAAACCCCCTCATGTTTGGATAATTACATCCACCCCTCAAATATGAATTTTCTTACACGTTCATCATTGTAGTATCAAATTTAGTGGAATCGTCTAGATTACATGTTGAATATTCTTTGGTTTGTACCTGTTTTATCCCTTTCGAGCTCCACATTTTGAAACAAGACGATCATATGATGCGTCTCTTGACTTGCAAATTTCAGATTGTGGTGCATCAGAAACTTCATTTTTACACAAAACGAGTACAAATCAGAGAAAATTCAACAGAATCTAGAAAATTCCGTTGAATTTGACAATATAAAGACAAACGTGTAAGAAGATTCATAGAGTTGAGAGATATGGTTGTAATTATCCAAACATAATTAGTTTTTTTCGTAATTTGACCTTAAATGAGATTGCCGCCGTAATTTACCTAAATATAAAATAATTAGAAATGTAGTGTGACAAAGATACAAGAAGCCCTTTACCGGAAATGGGCCATGACTGAAATAATAATAATAATAATAATAATAATAATAATAATAATAATAATAATCACAATAATAATAATAATAATAATTAATTAATTAATTATGAATTATTAAATTTTCAAGAAAGTCTGAAAATTATGAGCTCAGATCTAAATCTGGCAAAAGCATTTGATACCAACATTCCACCTTCATCTCTTACATTAAAACTCTCTCCTTAAATTTTCTTTCTTTCTTCTTCCACCATTGGGTAATAATATACAATTAATTAAAGATTTAGGGTGGTGGTAGTGGTGCTGCTTTTTCCTTAATTTCATCCTTAATTTCTTCTACATACTCTTTCATTTACACCTGCCCTATTGTATGCTGGTTCATTCATATTATTACCTTTATACTATAATAAAGCCTTCCATTATTACAGGACAGACACAGAAAAAAACACACACACACACACACACAAACACACAGTCCACAGTGTCTTTACCTCCTCTCCTTTTCCCTTTTGTTCTTCACTAATGTTGATGCAGTTTTCTGTTATGTGTAACTGAAATTTGGACATGGGGCGCTGTCTTCATAACTAATTCTTGAAAAAAAATACCCTTTTTTGCAGAGATCTGGGGTTGTCCTTGTCTGAATAGATCCCAAAAAAAAAAAAAAACCCCAATAAAAACCCAATTAGGGGTTCTCAATTTTCCATCCCTTTTTTATATTTAGGGCTCCAAAAAAAAAATTCAATCTTGATTATACCCTTGTATTGTTTCTTGATTTTACAGAGTAAAAAAGATCCAATTTTTATTGGTGGGTTTTACTTAAAAATCAATCACTTTACAGAAAACAAGAAAAAGATCCAATTTTTATTGGTGGGTTTTGCTTAAAATCAATCAATCAAATCCAATCATTGATGGTTAAGAGCAGAATGTTTGGAGGGAATGGGGTTTTCTACCCCATTGTAGGATTTGCTTCATGTGTGGCTTTTATATACTTGTCTTTTGGTGACTTGTGGATCAATATCAATGGTGATACAAAGCTTAGCTTTGTTGAGAGGAATGGGACTCAGTTTATAGTTGATGGCAAACCTTTCTATTTTAATGGATGGAATTCTTACTGGATGATGGACCATTCCGTCGATGAATCGAAGAAACATAGGATCAGACAGATACTTCAGACTGGTGCTAGGATGGGTCTTACTGTCTGCAGAACTTGGGCTTTTAATGATGGTGATTACAATGCTCTCCAAATTTCTCCGGGTCGATTCGACGAGCGGGTTTTCAGGGTAAGAGAAGTTTCGGGTTTTTTTTTGTTACAAGAGAGTGTTTGTAAGAGAAGTTTTTTTTTTTTTACTATGATTGGTTTCTTGATGTAGTTTGATTTTAGATGAGGGAGTGTTTCAGAGTACGAGAAGTTTCGTTTTTTTTTTTTTTTGCTGTGATTGGGTTTTGATGTAGTTTGATTCGATGGTAGTGTAAGTTCTTGATATCGTGAGAGCGTATTTCTTGATTCTAATTTTTTTTGACCAATTAGAAGAAAATGTAGGTTTAGTTGAAGTATAGAAAGAAATACGTAATCTGCAATTTGTCGATCATTATGTAGAAGTTCTTGATATCGTGAGAGTGTATTTCTTGATTCTAATTTTTTTGACCAATTAGAAGAAAATTTAGGTTTAGTTGAAGTATATAAAGAAATACATAATCTGCAATTTTGTCGATCATTATGTCGAAGTTCTTGATATCACGCGGGTGCGTTTCTTGATTCTTATCTTGAAGTTCTTGATATAATGAGAGTGTGTTTCTTCATTCGTTTTTCTCTAATTTTTTGCAATACACTTCTTGTTGACAACTTTTCTTACATCGTACATCATTGTCATTTGTCACATTTGCCTCTTTTTTTTCTTTTTTTTGGATAACCCGATTAAAAATTATTACATGTGCAATTGTAGGCGTTGGATCATGTTATTGCAGAAGCAAGAAGATACGGAGTAAGGCTAGTACTATGTTTGGTCAATAACTTACACGCGTATGGTGGAAAGACTCAATATGTAAAGTGGGCTTGGGAAGAAGGTGTCGGTTTAAGTTCTTCCAACGATTCGTTCTTTTACGACCCCTCAATTCGGCGATATTTCAAGAACTACGTTAAGGTAAAAAAAAAAAATTAAATCTCGTAAAATTTTATCCACTATCTTTTGTGACGAAATTTTGATCGAAACTATGATTTTCTCTGCTATGTTGTTGTCAAACCGGCATAAATTGATTGCATCATATGTATATTTATGAGGAGTTTTGGATTTTCTCTCTAAATTTAGAAAAAATAAGGTGGTGTGAATTCTTACATCATGCAGCCTGCAATTTTTGAATTTTGTTTATGGTTCTATCCATATCAGCCTTCGTTGTATTAACAATTTCTATTTGAAGCAAATTTGCTCGATAAATGTTACGAGCCATAATAAATCATGTTGTCAAAAAGGAAAAAAAAAAAGAGAGGCATAATATATCAAGGCTAATCAATTCTACCAAACGAGGCCTTGCTGACTATTCTTAGTCAAAACTGTCCAAAGTTCGTAAAAAAATATTGACATTTCGATTTATGTCACACCTCGGACTGCAAAATTTAGAATTATACGTAATACCAATTTTTTTTACCGAGATCGATCAATCAGTCAACACTATGACATTATAACGATCGTATCTTTTTGTTCGATTTTATTACTTGTTGCAGCTCATATAGAAGAGTATTAATTGATACATTTATCGGTAAAATATCGTTTTACTTCAAAAAAACAGGTCATGTGATTTTCTTAAGTTATTCTCGATAGATACATCACGAATAAAATCAATAGCCCCCCGTTTTTTTTTTTTTTTTTATTAAATATTTGCATGCAGCAGCGTAATTCATCGTAAATACATTTATTAAGTCGTGTGAATTTTTCAATCATTTGATTAATTAATAGTTTTTTCTAATTTTCAATTGTGCAGACTGTTCTAACGAGGAGGAATACATTAACTGGAGTCGAATACAGGGACGATCCAACTATATTTGCTTGGGAGTTAATCAACGAACCCCGTTGTATAACTGATAAATCTGGCGACACACTTCAGGTATATTCCAAATTTTTTTTTTATTCTACTATAAAAAATTAATTAATCTGCGTTTCTTTAACTCGAGAAATAGCGAATATACCATTGTGAATAACTAACTGTATGTAATATAACTGCAGGATTGGATCGAAGAAATGTCGACTTTTGTGAAATCAATTGACAGAAACCATTTGCTAACGGTTGGCCTTGAAGGATTTTACGGGCCTAAAAGCCCTAAAAGATTAACCGTAAATCCCGAGTTTTGGGCAGCTGATATCGGTACCGATTTCATTCGCAATTCCAAGATCTCAACCGTTGATTTTGCATCCGTGCATATTTACCCCGATCATTGGTGAGCTTTTTTACATTTTCACTGATTTTTTTTGATTCACTTATTATAGGGTTTATTGCATTAAGCACCCCTATATTTGCTCTAATTGCTAAAATGCGCCATATTATAAATATTAGCAAAACCCCCCTATAATGCATTTTTTTAGCAAACTACCCCTTAAAAATTCTTCATTTAGGGGGGTATGGTGCTAAAAAGATGCATTTTAGGAGGGTTTTTGCTAATATTTATTATAGGGGACTTTTTTTTAGCAATTCAATATAACACCGACGTAACTAAATGCAATAAATTCCACTTATTATATGCAATCTCCCTTTTGTTAGCATACATGATTTATCGAAAATTATTCACTATTTTACAAACCTTGCATAAGAAATATATCTAAATAAAATAAGACGATAAATCGTATTCTTTTTTTTTTTTAATATTTTTTTTTGCAGGACGCATAATCCGGACTTCGAATACAAACTAAAATTCGTAACAAAGTGGATGCTATCACACATCGAAGACGGTGACAAAGAACTGAAAAAGCCGATAATGTTCACCGAATTCGGATTATCGACAGAGAACATAGATTTCACGCCTTCTCAAAGAGAGAGATTCTACAAAGTTATTCTCGATATTATTTATAAATCCGCAGTAAGAAATAAATCGGGCGCCGGTTCTTTAGTGTGGCAGTTTCTTGTCGAAGGTATGGAAGAATTTAACGACGACTTTGGGATTGTTCCTTATGATAATCCGTCGACCGATAAACTCTTCACCGAACAATCTTGTAAGCTTGCGAGAATTCAAGGCGCTCTTCCTACGCAAATGGATTACTTGAAAAAATTATGCAGACAAAGATGATTATTATTATTATTTATTATGATAAAGAAAATCATATTATATTTTTATATATATACAATATATATTCTATTAGGGGTATTTGTATTTGCATCTTTTGTTTGTTTTGATTTTTTTTCTTTTTGTCTAGAGTGGGAGAGAACTTCGATTGGTCGTTACACGTATAGTTGTATAATTTCGTTCGTAATGAAAACATATACGAAGACCTTTTTTTGTTGAGAGGAATAACGAGAGAAGTTCAATTCGGAGTGCTCGTTTTTCGTTTCTCGCTATATATATATTTGTATTGTGAAGTTATAACTACCGACTCGCCACGCACCTGCATGTACGTGTGTCACTAGTAGAAAAATGGCTTTTTACTACGATCATTAATCGTAGCAAAAGGTATCAAATTCGTACTAAAAAGGCTTTTGCTACGCATTTGCTACGAATTTGCCCCGTAGCATATACGGGCGTGACAAAAGCTTTGCTACGGTTAATGGCCGTACCAAATATTTTTTTGCTACGGTAAATCCTAGTATTTACTATGACTTCAAAATTGTTCCGTAGTAAAAAATACCTTTTATTACGGTTTTTTACCGTAGCAAAAAATTTCATAGTAATAAGCAAATTTTCTACTAGTGTGTGTGTGTGTGTGATTGTGTGCGATTGTATGGTGAGATTTTACTCGATATAGCATGAAATAGAATCTGAAGAAAATTGCAAAATACCCTGCCTATCCGTAATTACAAAATTTTCATGGTGTTTTGTTTGCATCTTACACTGACCCCTTATAATTTAAATTTTCATCGAATCTTTTTGATTCCAGGGAATATTCTCAGAAAATACCGATTCTACCTACAGATGTGACATTTCTTTATGCTACTTTTTAAAGTAAGAACTTACCCTTTGAGGCCTTTACACGGAATCATTATTCTTCTTAAATACATCTTCAGAACTTTTTATCATTACCATTATCCTTCCAAGAGTAACCTTTGTCTTTAAAAATAACACAAAAAATATCACGTTTGCAGTTTGCAGAGGTATAATTGACATTTTTTGGGGGAATATTCTCTAAGATTAAAAAGATTCTATGAAAAATCACCTGTGAACGAGTTGGTGTAAGACGTAAACACGCGTCAGGGGTATTTTGATAATTACGAATCGATGGGGGTGTTTTTATGATTTCGTCTAAGTTCAGGGGTGGTTTTGTAATTTACCCTTGCTGTTATTATATATATTGCAGCTTGGCTGGTATTTTCTTTTTTTAGACTATTGGGCTTGATCTTTTCAAAGCTATAATATTTTCTTTATTTTATCATGCCTATAAACTCCAACAAGGATAAATTGATTTGAAATTGTCTTTTCAATAGATTATATATATATATATATATATATATATATATATATATATATATATTAGTTTCTAGAGATTTAGATATTAAATTAATATCTGAACCAATGAAAGTCCATTTTAGAGGCATAATTAAAGATGATCTAAATGGTGTAATGAGGTAAACAACAAACTCCAATAAAGAAATTTGTACTAGCTCCCTCCTTTTCTTTTCAAACGTCTGACTTAATAAGTCATAAATAATATTCTCTTTTTTTAATTGTTTGTTTTGTTAGAATTTTAAGGCAAAAAATAATTTTTTATAACAATTTTGTCCTTTATTACCGGAAAATTTTGAGTTACATATTTAAGTGGATTAAAATTATTTGTTGATGAATGACAAATTAATAAATTATTTTCAAAAGAATTGTGATTAAAACTATTGAGAATCTAGAAATATATCCTACGTCCACTATTTGACTTTTTCGATTTTCACACAATTTCATAATTGTTCGTTGGAGTTCTTCTTTAGCCCGTAAATATTCTCTATGGATTTTCTTCCGTATTCTTATCAAGAGTTCGAAAACACATTCGAGTGTTTGCAGATTTTTTGTTCTATAATATCGAAATAAGGTCGTTCTATCTTAGGAGACAATTGCTACAAAACCGTGAGCACCAGTGCAGGACAATAATGTCTTTAGGACAAAGAACCGAGTTCTTGCCTCTACAGATTTGTTAAATCGACCACTTTTTTTAATTTTTTTTAATTTTTTTTTCTTTTCTATAAATGCTATTTATTAGAATTCATAATTTGTACTCGATCATAAATTTTCGTTTTTTTTTTTCGTTTTGAAAATGCTGTATTAAATAAGGAAAATAAGTCAACAAGGAGAAGTTGGATCAATTAATGAATTAATCAGCTAGATAGCTCAAGCTTGAGAGGTAAGTTGACAGCTATATGTAACTAATGCATATAGAATAATTGATATACTTTTTTTCTTCAAATATGTTACTACAGTTAAGTCGGGGAGAATTATATTTTTCATCTCTCATGTTTCACTCAATTTAACTTTTGGTCCCTGTTATTCTGAAGTGAGCAAACTACAAATCAAAAGTCCAATTTTAAACACATTTGGTCCCCTCGGTCACATGAGCGTTAGATGCCAACAGAAAACACTATTTTGGGCTAAAATTGAAATTTAATATTGCTTTGGGGCTAAAAAACAATTAAAAATTTTAAAGTACTAATTCTAACTTTTTTAATATATTTATATTTTAATATATATTTTTTGCACTTTTGTTTGTGAAAATTAAATATTATTCAATTTATTATTTATTTATACTTAATATTATAAAAAAAATTGATTATAATTAGTACTCTAAATTTTTAATTGTTTTTAGCCCCAAAACAATATTAAATTTCAATTTTAGCCCCAAAATAGTTTTTTCTGTTAGCATCCAACGCTCATGCGACGGAGGGAACCAAATTTGTTTAAAATTGAACTTTCGAGGTGTATTTTGTTCACTTTGGAATAACGGTGACCACAAGTGGAATGGAATGAAACATGATATGGACGAATAATGCAATTCTCCTATTAAATCTCTATAACTTAATACAATCAGAACTAGCAGAATTCTATTAAAATATTAAATTATCGAAGGAATAGTGTATTACGCTTACATCGAGTCGGAACCGATAAAACATATTATGCAAGCGACTAAGCGAGGTCGTACTGCACATGTAATAATAACGAACACAAACATGAATTTCTCAGAAAGAACAATTGCAGTGTTACTATTCATGTATGAAGTGTGAGTAATAACAAAAAAGTAAATGTTGATAATTCTTTTCTAAAAAGAGAAAAAATGATTTATTTTTTTAGATAATTATTAAAAATAAAAATATTTAATATGTGAGGAAAGCCACGTCACATCAATAAGAGAGGCCGGAGTTTTAGCAATGTGGTCTTGTTTTATCCATAGAGTTTGCACATGTCCGCCAGCAAATAATTCAATTTTTCTGAAAATATATAAAGTTTGAAATAAGTTCAATTCTATCTTCAAATTTATGCCATTGAACTATCAATCCCCTACTATATACCCCACACTCTTTGAATTGTCTTTTTATGCCAAGGAATATATATATATATATATATATATATATATATATATATATATATATATATATATATATATATCGTGTGTGAGAGAGAGAGAGGTTATTGGCTATTTTTCGATTAATTGAGCTTTAGCCTCTATATTTGGCTACTGTTTTCTGACTTGAGCGTTGTAAGACAATCGTGGGCCACACCTTCGTGTTACTTAGTGTTTGCTAGTTGTTTTGTTGGTTAACGAACTATTTTATCCCTTCAACTACCTCAAACACATAAGTAGATAAACTTTTAATTTGGAATTTTATTGAAAACCTATGTGTGTATTGTGAACCCGTTTTTTTCCTGATATTATGCAATTTTTCCTAATTATTTCGTCTACTTGGTTCCTTGAAGTTTAAAATAATAGTTAATTTATGGTCTTTATATGTGATTATTGAATTGAACTTGGAAGGTCGTTTTGATAATTACACTGTTAGTGGAAGAACCTCTCGATCAATTTCACCGAATAAATGTGTTGTTGGCGTTTGAATGTCATATGTGTAGTTAACCATTATTGAAGCATGGATTTTAATTAATGTTTTGATCCTAATTGAATTGCATAGAAGTATTGTAATTTGATTTTGATCATGAGATTTGATTTATAATACACGCAGAAGGGGATCATTATTAAATTATTGTTTCAAGTTAATAATCATGAACCGTAATTTGCACGATTGGTGAATTTTGTGTGAACAAATTACGATTACCGAAAATATGAAATCCTAGGTACTTTTTATTTGGATAATTTAGATGTTCAATTAATTATCCTTTTAAGAACAACCAATCAACTCTGGTTTATTGGATAAGATCGTAACTGTGAAATAATTGGTACGGATTAGATAATTTATCTATTGCATAAGGGTCTGACATCCGACTCATCTGAGTGAATCTGAATCCACTGTTACTATTTTTTACGATACGTGCACTCGCATATGAAAATATTCCAACACCTTACATTCTATATCTATTTAAGCTTTGTGATTAGTTTATAAGCAACATCACCTTACATATAGAACTCGAAGCATAATCTAGGCTATGTTTAGAACTACTTCTTGAATAAGTATTTATTTTGTTTTTGTTATAAATGTATTTTTCAGAGAATATTCGAGAAATGAAATAATAATTCTTTTTATTTTGAATAGAAATAATTTTATATGGCACTCAACAAATCACTTCTAAAATGTTAGGAAGTATATGTAGAGAGAAGTTCAATTTGAGAAATTAAATAATATTTATTAATTTGTATTGTAGTTCATGTATTTTTTAATTTTTTTTACAGTAACGGTCTAATTATATATAGAAATATTACAGGACTTTGATTAAGTTTGAGCTTCTTAGAACATTAAACCTAAAGAAATTTCCAAGTAATCCTAAGAAGTAAGCACGAAAACTCACAGCGTGTACTTGAGTTGAAGAATTTGATATCGATCAGACAATTTGATCGAATAACTGTTTTTTACTATGTAGCACGAAAATTTCAATTTGTTAATGTATTCGCATTTTGCACATGTTTCGTGTCCGACACTCGGGAACATGTACCGAACACTTTATGGGCCATTTTGTAATATCTGAAAAGTTATAAACATGTTTGAATAGCAAATTTTCAAATATTCTTGTTGCTTTCCTAATTATTTACATGATTTAATGACCAATTGCAAATTAATAGTGATACTTTTGAATATATTTGTATGGAAATATATAAAAAGAATTTATATATAAATAAAAAATTATGTATATTTATATAACATATTTATAAATGTACCCCTATACTTTTAATATTTATATATTTTTCCCAAATTCTCGTATCCCCATTTTTTAGAATGCCGTTTTCCG